TCAGGCATTCAGAGTGAAGCTGGAAATTTTTCTGTTTTGATAGATTTAACCTGCTATTCCTAAAAGAAAAACTTATTGAAATTATCAATGACAAACATGTAGAAGTATTTTTTTTATATGTTGTTCCCTAAGTCCCTTAAGCAAACCTGGGAAATATTTATTTTCAATGCTTTATCTTTAGCACATGTGTAGATGGCTACTGCTTGTATGATTTAATTGGGGGTCACTTGTTATGCATTTAAACTTTTTCTTTAATAATTAGATAGGCAAATGACAGCACCTAATTTACCCTGGATTAATAAAAACTGATTGTACCTGTGGATTATTTTTTTGAACAGCATTTTCATTTGATAACTATTATGAATGTTTAAATTCTTGCTAATATTATAATGTTATTTCCAGAAATGTTTACTCAACTCATTGATAAACACGATCAGAGGGCAACTAATTTTAGTAAATATGATTCCTGATTTTCTCCACTTTTACATTAAAATTATTAAGAAAATTAATAAGTGATTTGGATTCTAAATTGTTAATTTTGGTGTGTTCATGTATTAAAATTTTATGAGGAAATCAAGACTAAAAATTCACAAAATTGTGTTTACCCTCTTTTTTTTTTTTTTGGCTGGCTCCGCTCTGCCCTTAGGGTAGGGCTGGCAAGGCCTGTGGTTTGGGAACCAAGCCACGTCCCTTGCACCTGGCTAAGCTTGCCTAAGCAGGCACTTTAGACTGCTGAGCTATCTTGCTGGCCCCATGCTTACCCTTAAGTGCAAAAATAGTGTGTATCCAGAGCAATAGGAGTTTATAGTTTTCTGTGATTGAATTTAAGAAACTTTTATGATCACAAATAAATACACACCTAACATGTTTGCATAGTCCAGTTAAGTGGAATGTTGCAACATTAAATTTAACACATATTAACATTAAATGTATCTTTAAATACTGATAAGATAGTAGCATATTGAATAGCTATCACAATAAGCCTATTTTTACAATCTATTTTTGTTTAGACATTCAAAATATCATAAGAATGTTAATACTTGAAAAACATGTAGTCTCTCCTGCTAAGTTAACAAAATCAAAACACAGTTATGAAAGCTAAACTTACGTATATTATATGAAGTTTTAAAATTTCATGACTATGATCTTTTTATAATTTATTTATTTAGTCCAAGGTCTCACTATGCAGCTCGGGCTTGTAGTAATCCTCCTGTCGCAGCCTCCTCAGCAGTGGGACTACAGGCATGGGCCACCGTGCCTGATCTTGGTGGCTGGTTCAGTGTGAGGCTGGCAAGGCAAGTGGTACCTGGGATCGAATTTGGGTCCTACGCTTGCAGGCAGGTGCTTAGTCCACTGAGCTGTCTCCCTGACTGGTGAGATGTTTGTTCATTTTGCTTCCGAAAAGAATAAGACCTAATCAGAGGAAGACTAGTCTGAATTAAAACACATTTATTTTTGTTTTATTTTATTTTATTTTATTTTAGACAACTCATACAGAATTTTACTTAACAAAGTAATATGAATTTCACAGTATTTGTTGTAATACATGGTATTGTCTTGCAACCAGCTATTCATATTACCAGATATTGGAAGAAGAAGAAACTGGAGCAATTTATAAGAAATTAAGAAAAGAAAAAAGTACAAACAATTGAAAAAAAAAGGAGACGAAGCTAATTAGAGCATTGACTGCTTCTTTCTATTTCCATTTTTTTTTCTTTTTAAAAAATTATTTATTTATTTATTTATTTTTTTGTCCTGTCAGAGGTTAAATGCAGAAGGGTTTTTTTTTTTTTTTTTTTTTTTTTTTGGCGGCTCCAGATCGCCTCCAGCGCTGGCCTGGTTTGCCTTGAGTCTCTGGGAATTGAACCACCGCTCCCAGAGACTGACTGCTTCCTTCGTTTAAGCAGGCACTTAAACATAAAACACATTTATAACATTAGACTTTGGACAAAAATATATTTTTAAATTGTAAACTCAGTGAATAATTAGAATTAATTTATTATGGTTAGTGTGAGTGGACTTTGGAAAGAAATAATGATATTTGGAAATACTATATTAATTTTTATATTGAATAGATATTTCCAAGTATCAAATGTATTATCTAATAATTTCATTTTCACAAAATGAAAACATATTTATGGTTACTTAAATAAATTAAAAACATATTTATGGTTACTGAAAGATAAATTCTGTATGTTTCATAGTCACTATATTTTAACTTACTGGTTTGGGATACATACAAAGCAGCCTAGTTTTGACTTTTAAAAGAATGCAGGGCCAGGGAGATGGCTCAGTAGAATAAGTGCTTCCCTGGCAAGCACAAGGGTCTGAGTGCAATCCCTGGTTCCACCAAAAAATTAATAAATAAGTAAAAGAATGCATATTTAGGGCCAGCCAGATAGCTCAGTGGATTAAAGCTCCTGATTAGACAGCTGCCCGGACTGGGGTTCGATGCCCTGATATTTGCCATGCCGGCCCCACCCCTGAGGTGCGATGAGATGGCAATTGAGACTGGGCATGGTGGCACGTGCCTGTAATTCCAGCGCTTGGGAGGCTGAAAGCAGGAGGATCATTACGAGTCAGATCTGTGTAGTGAGACCCTGTAGACTCTGTATTAAATACCTTTAAAAAAACCCAGTTATATCTCAGTAATATGGTCACTTTAAAGAATGCATATTTAAGCATCATTTAGAGTTGACAGAAACTGGTTAGAATGTTTGTATTTCCAGAGTCAGCAACATTCAAAGTTCATTCCAGAAGGAATACTAGGCAGACGTTAATTGCATGAACACATGATAGCACCCACCCTAGAAGCCGACTGGAAAGCATGTAAGAATGTGTGCGATACAGGGATACTTTGAAACCAGCCTTGTTAATTTTAATAAATCTGTTACTCTGAAACTTTACATTTTAGCTGTTATTGATAAATAAAATCATTTGTGACCCAACAATAGCTACCCACATGCAGATGAAGAAAATGAGCCTTACTATGGTGCAAAATATAAGTGTTAAGTTTTGGTTCAATCCATAGCAGTGCAATTTAGGTTTCACAGAATTGGTCGATTTGCGACCCACCCTCTTAAGAGCAGAGGGAACATTTTTCTGTATCTGCAGCTACAGTATGCCTCATTGGCTGTGTCAAAAGAATCACCTGGGTTGCTCAGCAAATATAGATTCCTGGATCAAGAAAGACCTTCAAAGAAAAAAAGGAAAAGAAAGAAAGACCTTCCAAGTTAGAAGGGGCCTAGAAATCTGTGTTTTCTCTCATGCGTCCAGTGATCAGGCCAGTTGCTGGCAGCTGGGTGTTAATGCTAGCAAACTTGGCAGAGCAGTGAATCTCAACTGAAGCATTCAGATACCATCTCATTGATATTCTTTTGCATTTTGATTCATTTTCTGTTATGGAGTCATTGATGAAGACATGTTCCCCCAGGTTGGGCGTGACTATGATAAAAGACAACGAATCTTAAGTTTTGTTATATGTACGTACTTACTGCACTTTATAATTACATACAGCCTAACAATTCCTCTTCACTCAGTGTTGCCAAGCCAGATATGGGATGTCCAAACCCCAGGCTGCAGGGCGAGCACGTCTGTGGGCCCAGTGTTCACTGGCAAAGCATAGACACACAAGAGTCCTGCTGTGTCTCCAGACTTTCCAGGCCCCGTGCTCTAGCAGATCTGTAGTGGCCTTACACTTTGCTGCCCGTGGTTGTGGGATGGACGCCCCTCGTTATATCACCCTAAAGCCTGGAGCCCAGCAGGAAGGAGTCACAGACAGAGCCAAACGAAAACTCATGAGATTGAATTCATCTGTGCTTCTTATTAAAAATGAGGTTTCTCTTGCTGCTTGTTTTCTTTTGTTTCTGTGAAAATGATGTAACAAATTATTATCCAGTTCTATTTCATTAGCAGCTTTTCCTGAATCTTGCTTTTATTATTTCATTTTATTTTTTTTTCTACAGTCTTTTCCTTTCTTTGTATAATGTACCTGGTGAGTTGAATACTGAATTATGATGTGGTCTTCTACAGCCTAATTAAAAATAACTACAACATCAGTGTCCTGGGAGATAATTTTATTGATTCTATTTTATAATTAATTACATGGTGATACAATCCTGGTGTCATTATTTGGGTTAATGATAAAATATAATTACTAGTATATCCAAGGTAACTTACTGCTGTTTAGTGCCATCATTTTGCAATATCGTTTTAGCTTGCTGAATACTCCAATCCTATTTTAAACGTTTTCCCCCTTAATTTGCTGATAAATTATTCTCAGTTCTTTCTGGGGATAAATAGATTTGAGAGCATCAATAAGTTAGGTGTGAAATAAAATACTCGTCAGTACTCTTTGAAGATAAGATGACAGGAACAGCACAGCATAATTGATAAGGGGGTCATTATTATTTACTATCATCATATAAAATCCCTCATAATTTTCCCACTGCTTAATGAGGTCTGATAATTTGCAGGTAGTCTAATTATGAAGTATCTTACTTACCTTTTAGTTTGAGCATGTTAAAAGGTGGAAGAATTGTTAATTTGTTTAGAATTTAATTTCTCTTTGTAGCAACTAGTGTGTAGTCTACTTACATTCTGAAAATGAGATGAAAGAAAACTATAAAAATACAGTATTTAAATAAATATTTAATGTCATCTTTTATAAATAATGAACTCAGGATATGAGATGCATTTATCATTAGTGAGTTATGAGTGATTATAAAATAAGATCAGTAAAAAAACTATCCATACATAGACTTATTTTTTGATTTCTGGATTTACTAGACTTGGCTTGTAAGAAACATGCTACTATGAATCTTGTGTGAGGTAATGCCCATTGCCATGCAGCCAACATCCTTGGAAAACTACATTTGGCCTTGTGATGGACCCTAAGATTAGTTAGGGGGCTCTGAACTCACTTTTGCCAACTGGAGCGAAGGGGAAGCTTCTAATGTGCATGCTCAGCCTGAGCAACCTTTACCTTTGCTGTGTTGCAGAAACCCTCGAAACTCTCATCAGACAAGCAGAAAACTACACCAGCATACTTTTCTGCAACACCTACAGGAACATGGCCTTAGAAGCTGCTTCTTCCGTTCAGGAGTTCTTCACAGATGTGGGACTTTATTTATTTGGGGCAGATGTCAATCCTGAAGAATTCGTGAACAGATTTTTTAACAGTCTTTTTCCTCTGGTCTATAACCATCTCATTAGTCCTGGTGTGACTGACGGTTCCCTGGAATATGCACAATGTATCCGCATGGCTCAGCAGGATATCCGTCCATTTGGCAATATTCCCAAAAGAGTGATGGCGCAAATGGGGAGGTCGCTGCTGCCCAGCCGCACGTTTCTGCAGGCCCTCAATCTGGCCATTGAAGTCATCAACACCACAGACCATCTGCGCTTCTCCAAAGAGTGCAGCAGAGCCTTCCTGAAGATGCAGTACTGCCCGCACTGCCAGGGCCTGACTCCCAGTAAGCCGTGCATGGGATACTGCCTTAACGTCGCCAGGGGCTGCCTGGCACACATGGCCGAGCTTAACCCACACTGGCATACGTACATCCGGGCCTTGGAAGAGCTGTCGAATGCGATGCACGGCACTTTCGATGTGGAACATGTGCTCCTGAACTTCCACTTGCTGGTCAGTGACGCTGTGCTGCAGGCTCACATCAATGCACACAAGTTACTGGAACAGGTAAGCAGCACCGCATGCTTCCTGTCCGATTTCACAGAATCCGGCATTAACCGTGACCTGCGTAAACGTAATGGGTTATGCAAGTTGTGAGGGACTCAAGAATTATGTCTCCCAACAGGTTTGTACTTTAGGTAGTGGTAGGAGAGTGCATGTGTTGTCATATTTGATTCAAGATATTACATTTTACAAATGTCATAAAAATTTTTGATCAGCTAAACTTCCTGTTTCCTCTAAATAGACTTCTCGGAGCATTCAGTGAGCTGGCAAAAACTCCAGTTTAAATCTTCAGGGATATAAATCAGGCATACTTGTTTAAGTATGATAGTGTTTCTCCTGTGAAAGTCAGAGTGTAAATAAAAGGCAAAATGGAAGGTAGATTTTAGAAGTGGAAGAACTCATTCAAATGTGAAGGGAAATAAGAGATGGGGATGGAAGGGGGAAGCCAGAAAAAGTGACTTACAGGAAAAACTGAAGGAAAAAATAGAAGCAGAGCTTTTATAAAGGGGGAGGGGAAGATAGGTTGGAGTACAAGAGGGGAATGGAACAAGAAGCAAAAAGTAAGTTGTGTTATGTACGTGCGCAGATCCCCCGTGCTGAACGGGATCATTATGGGCTGCAAACATGTACCCATAAGAAAATAAATTTAAAAAACTCAGCAACATAGATTGAAATCTAAAATCAGCAATAGTTAGTTACAAGAAGGTAGCCAAGTTGTTTAGTTCCTTTGAACCTTGATCTCTTCATTGAAAAAAGGAAATAGTAACACAAAACTTGTATTTTTTTTGGGGGGGGGGTGGAGTGAGCATTTATAGAAACCATCTAGGATGGTGCCTGTACTAAATAGGTGCATGGCTACTAGAATTTCATCAGTAAAGCCTGATGATGTGGCTTTAAAATAGAAAATGCCATGGTATCTTCATGAAGTAAAGGTATGATAAGTTGATGTTCAAGAAATTTCTTTACAGTCTCCAAAATTTTTCCAAGCAACAGTGTGATGACTTTTTCAAATGTAACATAACATGAACATGCTGTTTTATTTCTAGTAGACTAAATATTTTTTGAAAAGGAACAATCAAATCAAGGATGTGAGGATTTCTTTTTTAAATTACACTTTTTGGGAGCCATTTGAAAATATTCACAGGGTCCCGTGGTAATGCTTCTCATGCGCCATGCTGTGAAACAGGACATGTTGCTGGTGGCTCTTCTGAAATAAAATTATATTCCTCAGGACCAACTGAATGCAACTGCCTACTCTGGCACTGATTTATTGAATTAGTACATTTTCTCCTCCTGAGCACTACATGTCAGATCTTTTCTTTCTGATGGAAATGGAAATGAAAATCTCCGCATTTAACGCCTTCCTTTCCTTCAGGTCTTTTCAGATCCTCAACCATCCCTGTAAGCAAGTTAGAAATTGCCCCTCTGGGTGGACTCAGCACTGAGATAGCAGAGGGTGTGCTGGATTTCACTACCTATTTTCAGCCCCATTCAGCTGGGTTGCCACCCAACCAGAAGCTTCCTGCCTTAACCTGGTAGTCCTGGCTTTCCCTGTCCTTCCCCTCTCCCTTTCCTCTGTCCTCTAGTATAAGTCATACTAGACCACCTCTTTATGAAAATCAAATGTGAGTCAGATGGCACATAATAGGGCTGAGGATATAGCTCTGCAGTATATGCCCCTGCTGGTAAGCACAAAGTCCTGAGTTTGATCCCTAGTAATGCAAAGTAAAACACCATTTTGGAAATATTTTGGGCTGGGGAGATAGCTCAGCAGTGTAAGTGCCTGCTGGCAAGTGCAAGGTTCTGAGTTTAATCTCTGGTACCGTAAAAAGAGGAGGAGGAGAAAAGACATAAACTCAAAATGGAGGTATGAAAAGTTACTGTACTTTCAAGTATCTCATAGTTATAAGGAATAAACATTTAGATCCAGGAAATAAAGTGTCCATGTTATTGCATCACATATCTCCAAAAAGGAAAATAGGCACAAGAAATCTGAGGGCCAGTACAAAGTTGATCATTATTTTCATACATGCTGTTTAAAACCTTGAGCCAAAGCTTTCTGGTGTATGTAAGTAAATAGATTTCCAAGATCATTTTAATTATATTAGTTTGGAGGCCTGCAGAATCTTTTTATGTCCTTATAATCCGTTCACACAATGATCTATTTTTCCTTTTTCAAAAACTGAAACAGCACAGGACTATAGACAACAGCCATGTTTCCAATTCCCAAATACTTTTTAACTTCTTAGTGTCTTTGGCAAGCTAGTAAGAGTGTTGGAGCCTGTTTTGTCTTGTTTGAAAAAAAAAACAAAAACGGAGTAATGGTTTAAGTGGGGCACATGGGGTCAGAGTCTCAGCTTAGCTGGCATTGCATGCCGGATGACTTCCTTGTTTTCTGCCCTATGCTAAGGCCAGCCTGGAGCAGAATTTCCACTTTGATATCTCAAAGAGTTAAAATTTAGGAGGCAGTTTAGTAATAAGTTTTACTTAAGCTTGTGGCATGTGAAACTCTTTGGTAAAGGATCAAAAAACACTGTTTTTTTAAAAAAAGCAAATAGTTTGATTTCACGTAATAAATAGTCCATGACTTTTGAGCGACACCAATTATTACGAATAAATTGTAGATTCTTTTCTAAATAAATCTCCTTTTCTACTTATGGGTAAATAAAAGGGAAAAAACTTGACTTTAAATTCCTTAAAAATTGACTCATTAATATTTATTTCTGCCAACTGCAAAGTGATTTGTAAACTGTTTATTAAGCTTTGGTAACAAGTTTACACACGAGAAATACAATAAATTCAAACTAAATTACTGGAAAGCTAACAAATAATGACTTACTCACATCTCCAAGCAATCTGTGAAATCAAGTACTTCCAAGCCTGGTCCTAAATACATTATTTTCACTTGAAGAAATCCAGAGAGATTCATCATAGTTCTGCTGGATGCATTTCAACTGGAAAAGAAAAAATGTTCTTCACTTTTTGAGAAAATCATGAATATTTTATATTTGGAAAACCTTTAAAGAAACAAAAGCTAATATGCAAGAAACTTTTTTTTTTTAATTTGGCAGCTATTTGGGGGGTTCAGAAAGCCTTGTTTCAGTAGAAGCAGAGCAGAGGAGGGTGGAGACCCAAGGCGCAGGGTGAAGTTTCACTCCCCACTCTGTGTTGCTAATCAGCGGCGAGTTTGGGCTTCTCATTGTTTAATCTCTGCTTCTGTTTCCTCTTTGCTTAATGCAGCAATGGCAAGCCCTTACCGTAGAGTTTTTGAGAGGATAAAATAAGTTTTCAAGCTTGGACTAGCACCGCGTATGTGGGAAGTCTCAGGCATTACTCGTTATTAGTGTATTATATTAGAAAGAGTTCATTGAATTACTTGGTGTCTTAAATGCCCTCAAAATAAACATCTCATTAGAGTGTAGAGTTTAAAGAAAGTTTTGATGGTATAGAGCTCCACATAGTTTAAATAAGGATTTGTTGTAAGCATATAGTTGCAAAGATTTTCCTTAAATAACAAAAACTGGGGTTTTCACAAAGTATGTAAGGTGCTACAGTGTTTAACATTGGTGAATATGCATATATGTGAGTGTGTGTATGATTCGCCATATACACACATAAAGAAGTCAGATTCCAGTTAATAAATTATTCATGTTGTAAGTAAAATATAGTATATGATTTTGAAATTAAATTTGATATTAATCATATTTAATGTATAATTTGTTGTTACAGTTTATTAATTTAATTTATCAAAGATGCAAAAACACAGATTTTATGTTAATTTCAGCTCTCCAACATGTTATAATTGAAATAGCCATTATTATTATTATTGGAGTTTTTTTTTCTCTCCCTCTGTATTTTAGGGAAGGGTCTACATGGTGTTCAGGGTCTCACTACTAGATAGGACTCATAGTGATTCTCTTGTTTACAGCCTCCCAAGCGCTGGGATTACAGGCACTTGCCACTATGCCTAGTCTCAATCTTAGTCTCATTGCATCCTGGGGGCAGGGCTGTCATGGCAGGCCTGGGGAATCCAACACCTGGCCCCTGCGCCTGCTTCTAGATGCTTTAATCCACTGAGCTATTTGTGAAATAGCTATTATAAGGAAACTCAGCTGAGCCTTGGTTCTATATAATTTTAGAAAAAAGAGGTTTTGTAAAGTTTGTAAAATCAGGCGCACGATTCCCCAGAATAAATGTCCAGCTCAACATTTTCTTAATAGATAATCTTTGTTTCACCTCTTCTATACATGATACATAAGTCAATATTCAGCTGGTTGCATCCAAATTACTTTATAAGCAGGATACACTCTAAAATCCTAGATCCTGTCAAATTTGAATTTAAGTGGATTATACATATGAAAATGCTTTGGCTACTAAGAAAATGAATATCTATATCTATATCTATCTATCTATTTATCTATACCAACATTTACCTAAATATGTCAAAAGTAAGCACAGGAAATTTTTAATGTATTATAGGCATTTCAACTATATGTTTTATAAAAGTTGAAAGCAAAAATAAAACTGGTAGGCTAGATTAATTAGATATTGGCAAAAATTTTGTTGTATTTCTTATACAATGTGTATGTTTTCCTGAGATATTATTGTGCATTGGGTTTTGTTTTTCATAAATCCAGACTGACAAGTGGAAAACCCAGGACTATTATGGACTACTGGACTCTTAGAACATTTTGCTGAGTTTACACATGTATAATATTCAAATAACGGAACTTAACACAAAAGGGGGATACAGATGAATGTCCATTTTGTATCTGTGTATTCAAAGTGGTTAGGATAAATATATAGTTACATTCTCTTAATGAATAGAGTGATTTGTTCTAATGGTGTTTGTAAATAGGATATCATGTCCGCATCTTGTACAGCAATTAACCACTAGGAAGAACGTATGCAGTAAGTTAATTATTGAAACTGTCCTACCAATTTGATTTGAAACTGTCTCATTGCTATTTGTTTCTCAATAAAATTATGAAAATAAATAAATA